TGTTTAACATCTCGATTTCATTTTCCTACAGGATCCCGACATTTTGTGGATTGTCATATACAAACAAAGGTTGATGAGAAAAACGGAGGAGGGACAGGAATTCCCGGAAACATTACAAGACGAAAGAAAGTGAGCTTGACTTATGTTACACATCGCAGTTCACCGTGCAGCAAAGTATCGTGCCAGCAAGTCCAAGGGGCCAGCACCTGCCCTGAGAACTGAGGCAAGTCTGCACAGCTACGAATCCTCCAAGCCTCCTCCTGACATCCTACCTCCTCGAAATCACACCTGTCGAATGAAGCATGTGCGCTGGTAGGAACATGTCGAGCAGAGTGGTACGTCTGAGGAGACCTCATATCAGAAGTGCAGTATAAAGAAAGGGGGAGGGGCAGATTGAAACAGCTGCCCAACATGATCCAACATGGGTGTGTTTGTTGGGTGGGGGTCAAGAAGTCAATCGGGGCACAAAATACATACATGTACCGTGCCCTGCTCTGTGGCACGTGGCTGTTTCAGGAAAACGTCGGGCATGAGAAATGCTGGAACGCGAGTAGGAATTGATATGATAGCATATGTGAAGCAAAAGTACTTGAACTTTCTAGCGGATTTGAAGAGAATTGCAGCAGGGGGCGTGGCAACGTGATCGTAGGAGGGAAGGTAACAGCCATCAAAGGTTGATGGAATATCGCGACCACAGGATTACATGTGCTTGATGTGCCTGTCACTGTACATTATGTCTAATAATAGTAATATTCAGGATAGAACTATGATACTTAGTAATTAAATCAGGTAGTTAGTTAACATTTAATTTCTTACCTTTACAAGCAATTCCATTCCACCTGAACCGAGTCGGGTGTGATATATCTCATTGCCATACACAGAGCACATTTCAATTATGATTTTTATTTTTTTCTTCAAAAAGCTTCTTTCACACAGGGTACTTCACATATGGTTATGATTAAGAGAAAACGCCATTAGATTTCAATGGGAAGATATTCAGTGTAACGTTACGTATCAAACGCTTGGCGCTTGACGGACAGTACTCAACACGTACTTGAGGAGGCTGGGGTGAGGGGTTTTCTGTTCACCTGCCTTGATATTAAAACGAAAGATCCGCATGCTACGACGTCTGGTCTTCTGGGAAGTGGTGGTACCGGGCCGGCCTAGAGGTAAACGTGTCACCCTTGGGTCGGTCAGAGGTCAGGAGCGGTGCCTTTGATGTGGTCTAATACCCGGAGGACATGACGTTCCAGCCAGTTGAACTGACTAGAAACTGCCAAAGCAAAGCCGCCCCAATATATGAGTATACGAGGTTGATAGCAGATTAGTGTGCCAGATGTTTGCTCTATGACTCCATGACAGAGAGAAAAATTTGTACAAACATCTATTCGTCCCTCCCCGTATCTCCATAATTCTGAATACCAAAACTGTTGCGTGATTTTGTACTGTAGTGCTAAGAACTGCCTCATTATTTTTTTAAACACCAGTCTTATGCAGCCTTCTTAAATACTCACTTTAATCGAATGGTGAGTTTCTCAGGTCCACAGGTCTATTACATGAGTAGACTGTGGTGAGTCATGTTGACAACGCCCCCTTGCCACGTGCTATTTACCCTACGGTAGGATTGGCGAGTAATTGAGCCACGCAGTCGGCGCTTTGAGATGAGCACGTACAAGTAGCATTTCACAAAGGCTTTGAAAATCGCTACGTACCATATATAGAAAAGCATAACCTTTTCATCCACGTTTGTGTAACTTCTCAATTGGGGTCAAGGAAGCTCTATAGCGCATGGTTTAGACCAATATATGACTGTTCCCGGACGCCGAATTCGGCGCCCCTTGATGTTCACAATAGAAATAGTCTAAACGTTGCCAGCACTTTGTAACGCTCAGGTGAAATCCTTTGCTGGCAGGTCTAAAAGAAGAACAAAAGCTACTTGTTTGTCAGTATTAAATATTGGAACGGGGCAGTCTCGTTGGTGGAGACTGTTTTCACTGAAGTGTGCTCCAGTCGCCTGTGATCACACCTGCGTGTCGCTGATAAACCGTCCGGTTGACCCCTCCCCCTCTTTGCTGCGGTTTCTTTCTCCGGAAACGCCTTTCTGTGTAAGGACAGGTCAGTTGACTTTCTGCGCGGTTCTAACGTAGGTAACGATAATTAGTTATGGTTACGGCGGCGGCGTGGCGCAAACGTCGAGCCGGTAGCCTTTGCTGTGGTTTTCGCCGTAGGAGATGTAATTTTCCACAGAGCCAGGGTTACCCTTTAATGCAGGTGTTGCAAATGAATCATCGAGAGGAAAAGCTTACCAACAAGACGACAAGCCGGCCCTCCAGGATATAGAAGCCCTCTATACTTACTACTGTCATGGCAACGGACAAGTAACAGTTCGGGTCTCTTCACTGCGGTCTGCTTTGAAGGTATACTTTTAGCACCTGTAGTACTGTAACAGGTGCGACTCTTACCATGCCCACACGCGGCACTTTGGTGTGATTTCAACTGTATTATCAGAAAAGGTGTCGGCTTTTCCTTTTGATGACTGGCGCGCTGTTCTTTCATGTGCACAGCTAACAATGATGGTTTTGCCCTTCGTTGCCGAGAAAAATTGACTTGGTTATGCTAAGGTGAAAGCTCCTTGGTTAGGCACTGAAGATTGTAGGTCGATATGCGCCATTGAAAATTGGAGCTCGCTGGAGTTCATTCAGTGAATAACGTAATCTAACGCTTTGGACTGACCCCCCCCCTTTTTTTCTCTTTTTACCTGGTATTGGTAATAGGCAAGACACGGGTAGATGCTAAAGGAAAATGCGCCAAGAGACAACTTAAGATAAACAGTGACACAAAAGTGCCAATAAACCTACCAACCATCTGACCAATAACCGACCAACCAACCTACCAACCAGTCATCCAACCAACCAACCAACCAACCAACCAACCAACCAACCAACCAACCAACCAACCAACCAACCAACCAACCAACCAACCAACCAACCAACCAACACGAGTATCGGTGGTCAGTTTGGAGCAAGGACATTATACACAAAGGCCTTCTTGTACAATGTCTCTGGTTTGGAGCGAATGGAGCCCTTCCAGCGACCTTGCCCCCCC